AAAAATCACTGAGATAAACATCAAACAGGATTTTTTTGTAACTTCAAAGGAATGATTCAAAACTAAGTGAAACCACTTTGGAAGTGTTCTACATCACATCCCATGACTTCACAACCAAAATCTCACTTGCACTCACTTTTAGTCAAAAGATCTCACACTTTCCATTCTAAAACCAGAAATAAGCAGATTTGGCCATGAGATGCACAAAACAGGATTTTGCTATAACTTCCCAGTAATGAATACAATCTAGTTAAAATGACTTTCAAAGTGTAATTTAGCACATTCCCTGACTTGTTAGAAAGAATCACACTGGTGATAACTTACAGTCAAAAGATATCACACTATCAAAATTACCAAAAAGTCACAGAGATAGACAGTGATGGAAATAAGTATTTGAGCCCTTACTGATTTTGCAGGTTTGCCCACTTACAAAGAATGCAACGATCTATAACTTTAATCATATCATTATTAAATTGAATTTTTTCTCATTTTTGGAACTCCTTTGTCCTTGATTCTGTCTGGTCCCTCACAGTTGCTTAAGATAAAAGCGACTTTAGTTCCTATAAATGAACATAACCTGGTATAATCCTTTAACAGGTTATGTTACCTTGTTTCCCTAAATGAATATAGGATGCTATAATCCTTTAACAGGTTATATATTATATATATTTCCCTCACCCTTAAGATGCTATAATCCTTTACCAGGTTATATTATATATATTTCCCTCACCCTTAATATCCCCTCTCCTCCCTCATCGCTGTCCTCCTCTATCAGGTCTCCAGAGATGGTTCTGTGCAGCTCAGCAGGAGCCTCCTCCACGATGTTCCTCAGCCCCGCCTGAAACGCATAAAACACTGGATAAAACAGTATAAAACAGTATAAAACAGTATAAAACACAGGATAAAACACAGTATAAAACATGGAATAAAACTGTATAAAACAGTATAAAACACAGGATAAAACATGGAATAAAACAGTATAAAACTGTATAAAACACAGAATAAAACACAGGATAAAACACAGTATAAAACAGTATAAAACAGCATAAAACATGGAATAAAACTGTATAAAACACAGGATAAAACACAGGATAAAACACAGGATAAAACAGTATAAAACTGTATAAAACACTGGATAAAACATGGAATAAAACAGTATAAAACTGTATAAAACACTGGATAAAACATGGAATAAAACAGTATAAAACTGTATAAAACACAGGATAAAACACAGGATAAAACAGTATAAAACAGTATAAAACAGTATAAAACACAGGATAAAACACAGAATAAGACAGTATAAAACAGTATAAAACACAGGATAAAACACTATAAAACACAGGATAAAACACGGAATAAAACAGTATAAAACAGTATAAAACACAGGATAAAACACGGGATAAAACACAGGATAAAACACAGGATAAAACATGGAATAAAACTGTATAAAACACAGGATAAAACACAGGATAAAACAGTATAAAACAGTATAAAACATGGAATAAAACAGTATAAAACACATGATAAAACACAGGATAAAACACAGGATAAAACTGTATAAAACTGTATAAAACTGTATAAAACTGTATAAAACACTGTATAAAACACTGTATAAAACACAGTATAAAACAGTATAAAACACAGTATAAAACAGTATAAAACACAGAATAAAACACAGAATAAAACACAGTATAAAACACAGAATAAAACACAGGATAAAACACAGGATAAAACACAGAATAAAATACAGAATAAAACAGTATAAAACAGTATAAAACAGTATAAAACACAGAATAAAACACAGGATCTGGTTAAAGAAGAGCGGGCAGAGGGGAAAACACAGGATAAAACACAGTATAAACATTAAGCATTTGCTGAGATATAGGTAATGTTCTGGTTAGTGGTGTCTCATAATAATATTTCCAATAAACACAAGTAACCTCTTTTAAACTGGGTCCAGATTATCTGTGAAGCCCTCCATGATATATATATATATATTTTTTTTTTTTTTTATTTATTTTTATTTTTTTTTATTAAAAAAAATATAATATATATCTTTTTTTTAAATTAATTTTGGATCACATGCATAGAAATGAAACAGGAAAAAGGAAGTTTACTATTTACGATATGGGCAATTAGAGGGAGTAGGGATGAATAAATACATGTTACCTCCTCATTATCCCTTTTCGGATACTTTCCACTAATTTACTTCATATCTGAGGTGACATGTACTTACAAGTTCATAAAATTGGGTATTTTGGGTATATGTAATGCGGTGTTTATCTTATAGAGATGACAGAATTGGAGAATAACAGTGGTCTACTTTCAAAATGTGTCCTTTCTTTAAATATTATATTCTTCAGAACCACTATTAATCAGGGAATTGGTTTAAAAAAGTGTTACCTGTATCTCATTGGTGGCGTTTTTCTTGTTAGGACGAAAGCCGTAATACTCTTCCTGCCTCTTCTTCAGTTTCCGGAAATAATCCTGGATTAAAAAGGTGGCGTAGAACTTCCCCACAGTCACCTCGTCATCTTTTAAGACAAAAACAAATAATGCATTCATATCAGAAAAGAGTCATTAAAGTTTCAAACCTGTAGAGGTGAAAACTGGGGTAACTGACTGGATCTCAAAGTAAAATGGACATGTTTATGTTTATGGCTGGTTATGTGATGCTATTAAATAATCCAGATGAAAAACATTAAAGCTAAATGCATAGTTGGCATAAATAAATCTAGAAGATCCAACTATCGTTGACATTATTAGAAATTATGATAAATATCTTAAAAAATATTTCTCAGTTACATTAGTTTTGATTTAGCTTTAGCTTAGCTTTAGGTTAATTTGGTTTTAGATCTGCCTTAGCTTTGGTTTAGCTTAGTTTTGGTTAACTTTGGGTTAGTGTTGGATTATCTATCTATCTATCTATCTATCTATCTATCTATCTATCT